TTATTATCATTGATACATTCATTATGATATTTACATCTGTGTCCGATATAACGCGCACATCATATACACCTTATGCGATGGTTTAGTAGATAACACAGACAGATATTTTACGAGCTGTGTACTATTTATTCGAATCCCGAAGGGGCGAGAAAAAATACGAGCAAAAAGCGGCTATCATTTCGCTTTCTAGTATTTTGACTTTTGTATGCGAAATACATCCTACGACCTCATCTGTGCATCCCATCGATCGCGAAAGACAAAAACAACACAAACGAAATTATTAAAAGTGTCCCAGGTGCCCAACAAAAAAGATCCGTCGCGCTTAAAAGTTCGTTTCTTCACTGAAAGTCAAGCCCAAAAAACGAAAAACAAAAATCAACGTTTGGATTGCTCAGTGCGGCAATTTTGTTGCCCCGTATTTTTGCCCCGTTCTGCAACAGGTAACTGTGGGCCTAAAGATAAATAAAGGCGATTTATTAGCGTCCCAGCCTTTATACAAAAGCCTTCAAAACATTCTTCTTTTAGGATCTTTCTAACCTCGAATCTTGGAAAAGTGCATGAACGAGAAGGGGTAGAAAGTGTAACTCAGGCCCGGTTCAGACGCCGCGCTTCTGCTTCTGCACGGCAGAAACACTACTCTGAATCGTACATCGGGCTAAAGTCGTACAAAATTCGGGATTTACTTAGACAAAGTAACAATTCATTCTCCGCAAACTGCAATCCCATCAAGAATAATTAACATAATTTATGAATTTTGTTTGGCTCGGTGAAGGCACAACGCTTGAATCACTGTCGCATCACTGTCGCATCATTGCTTGCTGAACTTAATAAAAAAAGTTTAAATTATACGCCGTACTTCTGCCATACTTTTGTTTAATTTGGTCTCTGGATTGAGTTTGACACGGCAGGAGCAACGACGTCTGAACTGGGCCTCATTTCGCCGGAACAACAAAAGGTAGTAGATCGACGTCTTCAGTATGGCCTGAAGCAGGCTAATATTCACTTTTGAAGTTAATGACTCACTATTTCATTATTGTTTTGCGTTACCTTGACATTTAGCTCCTTTAAAGACGTCAGACTTCAGACTTTTGTGAATGAACAGTTCAAAGGGGCTCTCTCGGATAAGTTCAGCTCGTACTTTGAGTGAGACCCCGAATACGCCAGAGGCATTCGGTGTGTAGGATACAGAATAGCGGCCGTCTTTCAAGTCCTTTATAACAACTGGATTGTCTTTGATTCCCTTCCGTACAGATGTAACCTCCACAGTAACCTTGTCAATTTCACTGTAAGTTATCTGACCATCAAAGAAGGTTCTGTGTGACTTATATACAGCATTCCTGTGGTAAAATTTCGAGGGATGGCATTTGGGATGTATTTTAAGTCTGGATATCTAGGCAATGTTGAAACTTTCTCTGAAATCAATTCATCGAGAACTTGTTTGACGCTTATCATTTCCTCTATGTTATTGTTTTCAAGGATCGCGGCTCTACCACGGATCGCAACACCAGCCATTTTTTCTAGTTTATCGGTGAGTTTCGACAACTCCTGGGAAACAACATCATTCTATAGCGATTTCTTCCTCGCCAAATTTTCCGTCACGCTTGTTTCATGCCGGCGAATCATGTTTAGATAGCTGTGAACTACCTTACGGACCTCTTTCGTCACTTGATCTATGTTGTTGTTAAATTTCTCTCTCCTCTCTACCAATGTCGCAATATCACTCCTCAACTGAGAAGTATTCACATCAACGGATCTCAGTTTTTCTGTGATAAGCGCTCCTTGTATCTTCGCTCCATCTTCTAGAGACACGATTTTGTGAGTGTTCGCATCACGATGTTCAATAATGACACAGTCAGAGCATATGCAAATCTTGCACTGCTCACAGTAATGTTCAAGATTCTTACTATGGCGCTTGCATGATTTCTCTTCCTGTGATCTGAATCCTTGTAAATTTTTAAGATATCTCCTAGATTTTTACACGTAAGGTTGGTCGGTAAGCAGTCAATGTTGTTGTCAGGACATTCGGTAATCACTCGACAGTTTGGGCAACTTAGCCTTCCCCCGCCATGCTGTCGTAGCCACTTGAGAAGACAGGATTTATAGAACGTGTGTTGACATTTGAGAATTTTCGGTTGGTTGTCCTCAATGAACTGTTCCTGGCACACAGGCCATTCTAGTTCTTTCTTTATATCATCTAAAACGTTATTATTTTCAGCCATGGCGTCCAATCCCACCTCACAGTACTGGGTACGAGCCCACAATTCTCGGAAAAGCGGAAATGTAATCCCACGGTCCTAAGACACTCGAACCAAGCAAGGCGGAGAGGGGTTCCAACCTCTCTCCACCCTAAACTANGTTTGGATTTACTATGAATAAAGGTCGGCACACACGAGGGGACTAGTCCCTGCGACTAGTCCGTGCGACTAGTCCCGGCGACAAGTCTTTGAAGGGTTTACACGAGGGGACCGGTAGCAGGGACTAGTCCCTTAAGGTGTTCACACGAGGGCACTCAATTGCACAAGAACATAGGAAAATTAAGAGGCAAAAGATGTTTCTTAGTCTGGGGCGTTACACGAAAACAATGAAAATTTGGCAACTTTTCATTGTAGCACTATTAAACATCAACGCAAATGAACTACACTTATTCAGTCGAATTATTCATGTTTTTACGTTCCGTTTTTTTATTTATTTATTTATTTTTAACAGACACAGAGTCAAATAGGGTAAAAATTCCATCAAAACGGCTCCAAGACATCTGTATATGTTTACAAAACTAGAAATAGTTTTTTATTCTTCAGTTGTAGAAATCTAGAATTCAGGGAAAATTCATAGAGACTGCAATGTTTACAAATACCGGAAGTCACGCATCATACTGACCCGTGATTGGCTTATTTACCGTTTAGTCGCAGGGACTGGTCGCACAAACAGTTCACACGAGGGGACAAACATTTGTTTCATGCGACAAGTCCCTGCGACCACAGAAATGTGTAGTTCACACGAAGGGACTAGTCGCATGAAACTGGTCGCTGTGACTAGTCGCAGGGACTAGTCCCCTCGTGTGTGCCGACCTTAATGAATTTGATTGCGCGACTCTGCTAGCTATGTTCTAAAAAAAATTAAAGTAGTGCTTCGCTTTCGGAATGATAATTGTGAGGGCGTTTTGGCTTTAACCTTCCCGCGAACATTTTTCTACCTTGAATAGCACTACTCTGTTTCTTTGCTTTCTCATTTTTTGAACATATTTACCATGGCAATCTGCCATCGTAACAGTGATTGCTAGTTAGTTTCACCGATTGACCCCATGACCAAATTTGGTTACTATCTACAGTGACTGATCAGTTTTGCGAAAAAGTCCAAAGAGAAAACTCTGCATTTTAAAATCACTCAATCCTTAAAAATTTCTATTATTGATGCAGTCGCTTTTCTCTTATCTTTGACTCATGTAATTGTTTGCAAGCTTTAAAGATCGTGTATTCACCATCACACCACCGTGAGGCCAAAAACCATGGAAACGAAAAAAAACAGTTTGTGAGTATAGGGTTTCCTCAACAACGTGAAGCCTTTGATTGCCTCACAGTGGCATATGTCATCAAAATGAAATAAGGTAGTTATGTATTTATTTATTTACCGTCGAGAAATCAGATACTTCCGGTTTCGGTTTCCAAGGAAAAGTTAATCAAGGGCTAAAGAACGCAAAGACAAGAGAATCAAGTGGAAGTCGGTCGTCGTTCCCAAGATCCCAAGAAGAAGTATAAGAAATTACCAGGAAAATAGTGTAGTCATTCGGTTTGATTGTTTAGTTATATCAACTGGGCAAAAGATCAATCTTAGAGGCAAAAGGCACTTATTTCTTCAAACAATACTTGAAACAGTCCATTAGTTGAAAAGCTCTGAAGGTGAGATATAACACTTTTATTTTGAACTGTGACGTTTGTATCGAATATTAAAGTCTTGTGTGAATATAAATTTTGGTCTGTGTATAGCCTGCAGATTAGTAGCCTTATAAAGACGAGTTAAAAGAAGCGCACGATCGTTTTTTCAACCGGCCATGTCTAATTTGGAGTTATCACGGCCATAATTTTCGTCAAGAAAATACTGAGCACTCGCTCGCAAAAATTACGTGTATTCTGTAGGCTTAAGTCTGAGTATGAATTGTCGAAGGATAACTTCTCTCATTCAGGCGTACCGTGATTGCTGTTTACAGCTATCTCCGTCAAAAGCTGTCAACATTTAAAACATGGTTCATTCTGGTACTTAGAACAGTTAACTACGACAGTAAGCGACCAAGCAGAATTTCCATTTGAAAGTGATAAATTTTAAGTTGTTTGACAGGCGCTTGATTCTAGACTACGTATCGCTAACCAAGCGCGCCAAAACCACTTAAATCACAGTCATAATATATAGTCACACAAATGTGTGCATGCTCTGAGAGCGTGGAAAGTTGAAATTTAGTGTGCAGAGATGCAGTGAAATACATGTTAATCAAGAAATAATATAAATACTCGCAACATTTAAAGATGGGATTCGGACGAAGGAGATGATTTCTTCCTTGGATGGGTCCATGCCAAACTATAAATAGCTAAGGCCATCAAAATTAAAGTCGCAAAATTGTCCGGTGGGCATGATCCCGTTTATAATCGGTATGTGTGCAGTGCGGATATTGTGGGGCTGTAGGATCCGCGAGTTGGCTTCAGTGTAGACACACTCTCAAAATCTTCAAATCGGTAAAAGTCTAAAGAAGAACTCTTGCTCCGAGTTCGACTTGTAGCACTCTTCGAAAAAACTAGACGCTCAGGGAGAGTTAATTCACTCGGGCTTCGTATCAAGCGTTTTACTTGAGCATTCGATTCACCACGCGTAATATTTAAAAAAGGTCAGGCCATCTTAAATCACCACAAGGCAATGTCATAAACCATGTTGGAATGCCAAGTTGTTTAACCATTGCAATTACTTACCAAATTGAATATGGTGGTGATCCTGGTATTTGCTTCAGAAATAAATCTGCTTGATCTTGGCAAATAAGGTTCACTTAAAATTATCTCTGAGGATTGGCTCTTAATTGAGAAGCAGTGACAGATTGCCCATGAACCTTTATTAGGGCCATATTTATACTATATTATGATACTTTATTTTCAATTATATAAATTGTGCTAAAAAGGTATTCAGGGTTTATGGCAAACCTTCCACTTTAATGTTAAAAAGTCTAACATTGAAGTATTTCACTGGTGTAATTGTAACTTGTTGTTCTGCTGTGTACCCATGCATATCTGCCTTAAGCACACAATACTGGAAATGCTAGTTCTTCAAATTGTTTATCAAGCATAAATGAGACAGGATGTTTGTTTTCTCCTGGTGCTATAGTATAGTCTTCATTGCCTGTTGACTGCTCACTATTTGTAATAACTGGATATAAGTTTGGTATAACTGACTCTAAGCATGTCTCACATACTGGGGTTCTATATTCATTTAAGTGTTCATCATTTTCTTCTTCATTACTTCTTAATTTATCATTTTTTCTTGGAACATACTCCAGTGCAGGATCACTATATGTTTTTACATTGTTCGTTGTAGCTTGTTGATGTGTATCATTACTGTCTGCATCATTTTGTAAAGTTGTGAGGTTGTTATCAATATTATTAACTACTATATCTTTGTACAATGGATTATGTACTTTGAGCCAGTTAAGAACTTACTGTATTAACTCTGGTCATACTGCTTGAAAATAAACATGTCCTCTAAACTGTAACTTTCTTTAAAGATTATTATACCAGATCTGTCAGGTGGACAAGGGAGTTGATGACAAGTCTGATCACATTTTACAGGTACACTGCATATTGCACCTTTAATTTTTCTCTGTTATCCTTTAGGCATGAACACAATTAATCTTCTCAAATAATATTTGTTGAACTATTTTTTATAGTATATGTATTTGTTCTAGTTTTTCTAGTGAGGATAGTAATCTGTGGGTATTTCATCCACATACATTTTATTCACTACAGCTGGACATGGTAGTTTTCCTTTTATGACCTTTGAATGACATGTGTTACATATATACTGTTTTCCATCAAATGACTGTTGAATATTGAAATATGTTTGGCAAAGGTACCTCTTGTTTATGTATGTTATTACTGATTTCTTATAGAAGTACTTGATTACAGACAGTGCATATAAAATAAGTGCCTTCTCTTATTTTGCTCTTAAACTGCTTAATACACAATTCAACTGACCAGACTTTCACTAATTTCTCATCATGTCGGGAAAGTAATTCTTTCTTCTTTGTAGCATCCATGTTGAATATTTTCTTTTAATGTCTTCTAGAAACCTTTCTTTGGCAACACTCTGAGGTTCCATGCTGTCATACCTATGTTTTTTCTGTGTTTTCTCATGATGCATTTCCTCTCAATTTCAGTAATTTTACCAGAACAGCAAATAAATTGTTGTATCATGATCATCTTCCATGGTCTGGCATTCCTGTTTATTTTGAATAATGTTATTAATTTCCTCCACTAGATTATTCACACCACAAATGTGTTTTGTTTGTTTCATTGCTAGTGAATGACTGTCTTCATATGTTAGAAGAGTAAACAATTGCTTTACTTTAATTTGTATTTTGTTGATAAATACATGCTATACAGTAACTTGAAATTCACATTAAAAAGCCTGTTTTCCCAGTGTGGTTTCTTAAAATGAAGGTCTCTAGAGATATCCTGCTTTCAGTTAAATTACTTAATTCTCAGTGACTTAATTACTTCTTTTAAATGTGTACGTACATTTATCAGTTCCAAAAACTGTAACACTGTCCGGCAGGGTAACAGATGTTAAACAGTGCTTACTGTACATTGTATTGTTAAGCTGAGATCCATTTTCAATGATTGCATCTATTAAGGTATTTGAGTTCTAGTAACTACAAGGTGATATGATTGAGTGACATAGAATAAAAAGCTAGTGCAAAACAGTGGTCTTCATAACACTTGTGTTGACCTGATGATATCTTTAATACCTTTCTTATATTGTTGCTTATTGCTGTTGTGACGGATCTCGTCGGTAAATAATAACGATTGCCAGGAATTATAATTTATTTCAAACCACAACGTTTTAATTCTGCTTGCACGACTCCTGTTTGCTTATACAACCAGGCCTTACATGTCTCCCAAGGGGGGGAGTCTGGGTCCTAATACACTACATCAGAGCCTGGGTCCTAATACACTACAATTGCCACATCATATTTTGTAATTTGTAGACCCATAGTTAGATGAGGTCCCCTCTACTAACTATGGTAAACCTTTTAGTTCATGCAGATCAGTTGCTCCATGTAAACTTTGAAAGTAATGCACTAAGTTGTATGTGGATGACATGTCCCTCGAGGGTGACTTTTACCATAAACATCGCTAGCACTGTCGGAGGCAGTGTGGCCTAGTGGTTAGAGTGTCGGACTCGTAATCCGCCACTCCCGGGTTCGAGTACCCCACCTTGACAACTGGATTTGTTTCACGGCAGCCCCGAGTTCAGATCCTTGGCCACGCGTGTAAATAGCCAACTGGTTTGCGTCCGGCCAGTTGGGGTTCAATTTAGACCCTTTGTTTCATTTGTTTGCAAGGACCACAATGGAAACTACTGGTTCACCAGTTATTGTGTAATCCTATAAAAAGACTTTTTTTTTTTTTTATAGCATGTGAGTCAAACGCTTTAAGATACGATAAGATAAGACCTTTATTTAAACACGATAATAATTGAAGCTAACAGCTTGAGGGGTCATGTATTTAGTTTATACATTATTAAAATAAGAAGAAGACTAGCTAAATAAGTGAAAGGCTAACACTAACATCTTAATCAAAAGTAGAGAAAGTCATCATTTTTAAGGCGGACAGCTGAAGCTGAAGCAATATCAAATTTAAAATCTCTAAAATAAGGCTTTGTTTTCAAGTTTCGAAACAGCTCATTTGGTTTTTTGTGCAAGATATTACGTTCATTTGAGCTAATAGTGTTAAAAAAGATTATACCTCTATAGGCAAGGGAATCTTTCATAAACCTAGTATTAAATCTTGAAACTATCAGTAAATCGTCTCCTCTTAAGGAATAACCATTGGGACGTTTGATGTAAATATCCATGTATAATAATTGTGTGAGAGACTCATTATATGCTTTATAGAAAAGTTTAAAAATATCCATCTTGTAGAGTGAAAACAGAGTAGACCAGTGGTTATAACTGAGTACGTCGCATGATGTCATGTCTTTAGGCAGGTTATAGATAATTCTAGCTGCTCGGCAGTGTAATCGTTCGATGGAGCATAATAAATCCGAATTACTGCATGCACCCCACAATAATTGACCGTACTGTACGGACGGCAGAATTACTTTAAAATAAAAATCGCGTAGTGCTTTTGTCGGTAAAAATTTAGATCGTTTCAATAAGTCTAACTTAGCTACAAAGTTCTTCGTAGTTTCCAGAACATGTGGTGTCCATGTAAGCTTGTGATCTACCGTCAGGCCTTGTAAGCGTGTTTTCGAGACCCACCTAAGGTTAAAACTTCCTAAGAATGCAGGAGTGATAGGGCCCATCAGATTTCTCGAGCTCAGCAGCATCACTTCACTGTTACCAGGGTGAGGTGTTAGCTGGTTGTTTAGGCACCAAGTATAAACTTCGTGTAAAGCCTAATTTAACTGTGCAATTGCCAGGTCTGCTGAATCTCTGATGCAGAAAACTGTCGTGTCGTCAGCGAACATATATAGCGACCCTGATTGAACCATCGAAGGCAAGTCGTTTGTAAATGTGTTAAATAATGTCGGGCCTCAAACAGAACCCTGGGGTACGCCAATAGTCACTGGCAACAGATCTGACCTAACCCCATTTATTACTGTGAACTGTTGCCTTCCATTTAAATAGTTTCTTAACCAGTCCAGTAGTGTACCCGTAACGCCAAAGTCTCTTCTCAACTTCATTAATAGAGTAGCATGAGGTACACTATCGAAAGTCTTCCTAAAATCAATAAATGCTGCGGCCACAACCTTTCTAGTGTCCAAGGCTCTTCTCCATGTCTCCGTCAAGTGGACTAATAAGTATTCAGTTGAATAGCGACTACGGTGCGCCCACTGTCTGTTTGAGTCCAGGTCGTTATCCTTGTAAATGTGCCTTATTAGAGTATCCTTGACCTCTGATTCCAAGATTTTACTGGGAATACTAAGTAAGGAGACCGGTCGATAGTTTCCACATTCTGTTTCATCATCTTTTTTAAATATGGGCGTGAGCCTTGCCGTCTTCCAAGCAGAGAGGACGCTGTTATTTTCACTGCTGAACTGGTAGAGACGCATAAGAGCTGGAACTATGGCGCCGCCAGCTAGTTTCAAGAGTTTGGCGGAGATGTTATCAGGGTCAGTGGACTTATTGGTTTTCAGGGTGTTGACCTTTGTTTGTATTGAGCTTTGTGAAATCACGAGCTCCGAGGAGAGTGGAGATTTAGTTCCCATATTTCATTCATTTACCACAATTCGGGACTTTTAGATGAAATGGCCCGTTTGAATAACTTCTACCTTCTGTTCATTTTGTATCTAATTTCACTGGTGATCCACGGCGCGGATGAACTCCTTATTTTCACTTGCTTTAGTGGGGCATGCTCATTACAGATACTGTCAAGCAGGTATTGCCAAGCCCATAAAATATCATCTTCATCGTCGAAAACCCACGAAACGTGGAAAGGTGTTGTTTCAAGCTCATATTTAAATTTTTCCTCGTCCAATCTTTTGTAGTCTCGCGTTTTTGTGAGTTTTGGTGGAGGTCTTTTGTCTTTCAGGCGTAATGTTGCACATGTTAAATTGTGATCAGAAATGCCTAGTGGGAAGACACTCGTGGAAATGACAAGATCCTTGCGTGATGTTACTATCAGATCTAAAAGCGTGCTTGACGTAGGTGTTGTTCTTGTTGCCTTGTCTACAATTTTTTGCATTTTAAACGCGTCAAAGGTCAAGCGTAATTTATGACTATTATTTCTCGTCAAATGTAAGGAGCCACCAGGGTTATCTGTAACAGAAAGGTCGCAGTTGAAATCACCCAGCAATATAATATGTGAAGACTTTAACCAAGCCTTTCCAAGCGGACCTCTAAGCAAACCAAGAAATTCATTATCACCAGGCGGTCTATACATACCTGAAAATAGAACTGAAGTGCTAGGGAATTTCACCTGCATCCAGATCGCTTCAATTCCCTCAATAAACAAATCCCGTCGACGGTACGCTTACAAATAATCGGCGTAATACAAAACGCATCCTCCCCCTTTACGACCTTTTCTGTCCAGTCGGAAGAACTCCATTCCATCAATTTCCACAGCGTCATCTGAGATAGTTTTTTCAAGGTGTGTTTCAGTTATAGCGAGAATCTCAAACCTCCACAGCCTCTGCAAACATCTCTATTCTTCTATTTTGTTCCGCAAACTGCAGACATTCAAATGAGCCACTCTAAGATCTTTGGCTGAGCAAGCCTCCAATTGATGTACGATGTGAGACAAGAAGCTTTCGTGCGTCTAGCTCGTCTTTACCACCAGCGAACTGGAAAGAATAGCCGGCGTTGATGTACTCGCCTCTGCCATGAACGATTCATCCGAAAGAGACGCATAGGGAAGAAGAGACAACAGATTAAGGTCACAACTGGTTCCTTGCTTAGGATGCTGAGGGCATAGAGAACAGGTCCAGGTCATAGAAACATTCTCTAAAATTTCCTTGTATCGCTTGGGTGTCACTCTTCCACACTTAATGTGATACCTCAAACCACACAAGTTACAGGCCAGCGACCGATGATTGCAAGCGATAGTCCGTGCACATGTAAAGCAGCTCTTTTTCTCAGTGTCCGGTCCAGGATTTAAATTTATGTCCCAGCTAATAGATAGCCGAGTCAATTGAAAGGTTGAGTCTGAATTTGGATAACGACTCAGTCTTGCCCGACAGACTCCCTTGCCCAAGCATCGCACGAAACCAACATGGCTGCCGTTCATCCACACAGAGAGGATTGACCGTCCACAACTCACTCTTCAAAAAATCGTCAGCTGTGTGATCTACATCCTCATGAGGTCGCATGTCGAACCCAGGAGAGCCCATGAATAAAAAGAGAACCAGGTAACCTTTGAGCCAAGCATTCAGACGTCCGTCCGCCACTGCAATGGCCATTATCAGCGCAGTAACTAATACCCACAGCAATACATCCACCTGTTAAAATAAATGACCTATATTTTTCTGATATCAATGACTCAAAAACTCTTTTCAGGCCCATATAGTATTGATATCTCTCAGTGGTAGGCTCACCATGGACATTACCAGATTGTAACTTTCATTGTATTCCAGCTGGTAATCTTCCTCTAGCACTGTAAGCATGATGGTAAATCTGTTAGCAGTAAAAATGACTGTCTTGATAATTGTGACAAACTGCCATATAATTTGAATATATCTACAAAGTTGAAATGGTGAATTGGCCACCGTTATGATTATAAAAGCTGACGTTTCGAGCGTTAGCCCTTCGTCGGAGCGAATAGAGGAATTGTGGGTTGTGTGTGCTTTTAAAGGTAGAAAAAGGAGCTACGTGATTGGTGGGAACATGGCAACGAGAAAAACACGAATAGATTAGTGGAATGAAAAGCGTTCGTTGATACCTGTGGGATTTAGACTGCCGGTTTGAAAGATGAGCTTTTGTTCAAGAGTTTTCCGGCTTTCCGTGCTACCTAAGTGTAAGAAAAGACCGCAGATTGCCATGTGTTGCTTAGAATGGTTAGGTAAATTAAAATGTCTAGCGACTGGTTTCGATGTGTCATTGTCATTCCTCTCCACGTCGCGAAGGTGTTCTCGGAATCGGTCACCTAGTCTTCTGCCTGTTTCGCCGATGTAACTCTTTTTGTAATAAGTGCAAGTTATGCAATAGATTACATTGGCGGAGGTGCACGTGAAGTGATCGGTGATCTTAATGGATCGTTTGGGTCCCGATATTTTCTCAGTGTTGTGAATGAAAGGAAACTTTTGCATCGTGCACAAACGCATTTAAAAGTGCCTGACAAGAAGTTCTGACCAAAAAATTGCCTATGTTTTTGTCGCGTTTGAATGAAATGAGCGGAGGCTGCTAAAAGATAGTGCTTGTCTCTGGATCATTTTGAAGTAATTTAAAGTTTTTTAAGAATGATGGATTTAACTGAGTGGTTATGAGGGTGAAACGTGAGAGGGAATGGAATGCGGTCGGAATCTTCCTTTTGTGACGTTTGTAGTGCTGAATGTCGATCAATAAGTTGGGCGCGGTGGTAACCCGCTTAAACGACAGAATCAGGGTAACCACGTTTATCGAAAAACTGGCACATTGATTCTGATTTGTGGTGGAAATCAGAGTCATCACTACATAAACGACGAAGTCTTAGAAACTGAGAAAAAGGAATGGAATTCTTAACGTGAGATGGATGCGAAGACGAATACAAAAAGTAATTATGCGAGTCTGTAGGTTTGTAATACAAACTGCCATATAGTTGATTTCCAATATGCCTTATTTGTTTCAGGTCATCAGGATTGCCTATTCCTTTCATGATGTGTCACATAAACTCATTGCAACACATCGTTGCCCTGCATTTTGTCCAAATACAAAAACCCCTTGCCTATATTGTGCTTTTATTGTTTTACTGGGATCCACATGGTGGATAGCAGGACCAGGGATTTTCTCTATATCATTATAGAACTTGTTCTTTATACAATTGTCTCTGTGAATTACACCCTTGTACTCACTATATGGTAAATTACACGAAAAGAACCATAAGCATTTGAGACATTTCTCTGCATGATTATCTCTACTTGAATTGCAAATACCTCTTTTCTTGTTCTAAAAATTAGTTTCCTTCTCATTTTTTGTACAAACCTGACTCTTGTCAGTTTATGTGTACGTTTCTTTCGTGTTGCATTATTTTTTATATGATCATGGACTTTCGATGACTTTGGTACGTTTTTACCCATTATAAACGGCTCCGTACATAACTGCAGTTTTCTACTTTTCTAATAGACGTTTAACATCTTCACTGGTACTCTACATAGTTCAAGATCACGTTCATAGCCATGGCATTCTCACAAAATACGAGTACAATTATAAAATGCATACTTTGCATGACGAGATCTGAATTGTTGTACTTTTATTGACACTGTACATCATTATTTTCATTTACATTAGTTATATTGACAACTTTTTCTAGTAGATCACAGACAAGAAGAGTATTCATCATGTCTTCTACTAAGCACATGTTTAGAAGGACTGGGAACTAGTTTGACCATGAGGTCAGATGACCGCCATGTTGTTTTGTCTTACTGATGTAGCTTGTTATTTTGGTTAAATTAAATGAGTTAAATTTGTGAAGAATTGTTTTACTTCGAACCTGGAACTCGTTCAGAAGAACAGCACATACACCTCAATGCGAAGAACAAACCAACATTCACGATCGCTTGTACAATAATAAGTGATTATGTACGAAATACCAAATCGTCTTCTACAAGTACTGAACCCAATAACAAACAAATAACAGAAACAGGATATTTAACGGAAGAGCTAAGCTTAGACATTTAACCTTACTATTCAAGTTGCTTCTGTCAGCATCCTTATCCAATTCGCTGTCATTAGCGCCACCTTCGAAGTTGTGTTCAGGAACATTCTTGATTTTTTCAGCAAGTGAAGTGTTCATCTCAGAATCAAAGTTTGTTGTTCAATCGGCCGTCACAATTTCGCCAGTACTTTCGTAATTTGAATTCACATATGGCTCATTTGTTATCTCGTGAGAACTAGTATGAACTAGTTCGTGGACCGGCCCATTCCGAAAACGCACGACATCATTTAGTGTGGGCCTGCTACGAACGGCGTGTGCGTTTGTATGTGAGATAAGGATATAAGACAGGAGTATTTGCAACACAGTCTTCACAAAGCACTGCATTCTGTAAATGGCGTTTAAGAGAGCGAGTGAATGGTAATTCCCCAGTTTCCGCGGTTTACGCAAGGAACGCCTTGGACTATGACCCCCCTTTTGGCGACCAAGAACGCTTGTATTTTGAGACTACGGAAGTCGGAGTAAAAATTCTTGTTATGGATATATTCTAAATGAACATGTAAAAATCGAGACGACTACTTTTTCGCTAACTTGATTTAGCACACTTTGGTGTTAATGATCTATTCATTGAACCTTTTATAAACTTACCTTGCGTTTGAAGGGCAAAAGGTGTAATCGATTTTTGATCATTTGACCTCCAGATCATAGATGCATTTCTGGAAGATAGATACGATGATGTTTTACCACGTAATATCCATCTGGTGAACTAAACGTAGAACCCTAATGGACGAAAAAGATACACAGGTAAACTGTGCTGGTATCGGCGCTGGAATAAATGAGTCTTAGGGAAATATGGCGGGAAAGACAAAGGAAGATGAGCGGTCAGTGCATTTGAGGAGCCTTAGTGAGAAAAGAGAGGAAACATTACAAAATCAAACTACTAGAATTGATGCAACACTCGAAGACGTAGTGTCTTCGCGCGACAACAGCGTAAAGGAGTTAAACGAAACGAAAGAAACTATGGAGGGACTGAAAAAAAAATTATTTCAAGAAAAACTTGCGGGGAAGCGATATGAACGCGAATTAAGGGTCGTGAGGTATGCATGCAACGAGGTCGAAGGGAAGCTGAAAGAACTTCTGACACAGATGCTTAATCACAAAACACGTCTGGTTGGTGTGGATCTAAAAGCCAAGCAGTCGACCAGGTACCAGGTTTAGATGTCTTGGAGATGCTAAAACAGGAGAAACTTACAAAACTGGAAGCGGAATTAGAGCATGTTAAGGCTGCCTATAGCGAGCTGAAGGAACAATCGAAAAACGAAGTTACACTCGCGCAACAGATACTGAACAGGAGGATAAAGGAAAAAGAGGCAATCCTTAGTAACTTACAAGAAACAATGATTAATCAGGAGCATACTATAACTGTATTGGAGGAACAGTTACGCAAAGCCAAGGACTCTTACAACGAGCTAGGCGAACGTTTGGGACAAGAAATCAAAGAAATCAAGCAAAGAGAGAATAATGAATTTGCTTTACGCTGCTTTAGAGAGCAAGAATTAAAGGAAAAAGAGGCGCTTCTAAACGAACTAGAGGAGAAGCTACGAGCAGAGAAGGAATCTCGGGAAAGGAGAGAGGAGGAATTAGCTTCTAGGAGCGGGACTGAGCAAAGCTTGCGACATGAAATTTCGGAGATGCAAAATGACCTTGTTCAGTTTCAAGAAAAATTAGAAAACGAAACTTGTCGAAGGAGGACTGTGGAGCACCGGTTAGAGGAAAATGTTTCCACTGTTCGCGAACTACAGACAACATTACGTCATGAGCAGAAAATCAAAAGAAGAGTGGAAGAAGAGTTGAACCATGCGCGGGAGAAGGAGAGATTATTCGAAATAGAAAAACGTTGGCGACAGACTCAAGAGATACAGCTGAACGAGAAGATCATAATGTTAGCTCAAGCGCAGGAAACAATTTCCCTGATGACAGATGAATTGAATGAGGTCAGGCGTTCCACCAACGAAGATGTTGAGCGACTGCAACGCCAACTTAATCAAGAAATTAGCCTGAGAAACAGAAAAGAGCAGGAATTAGGTGTTTTGGAACAGCATCTCGAAGAAAATGAAAACGCGTTAAGTGAGCAACGACGTCTTCTGGGAGAGGAGCGTCAACAACGGGCAACCTCGGAGGAAAGTCTTCGAACAGTACAACGTGAAATGGTGGATTACCGGCATAGGCAGGAGGCCAGAGAGAGAGAACTACAATCACATTTATCTGCAGCCCACAAATCTTTAGCTGAGTACCAGCCACGTGACTGGATCATCAGACGAGAGGAAGTCGTTGTGAGTGGAACGAGTTTAGGCAGAGGAGCTTGGGGCAGAGTACATAAAGGGTCTTTCCGATGTTGCCCAGTTGCTGTAAAAGAAATTCATGAAGTGATTATTTCTGATTATAATCGCGAACTTTTCGAACGGGAGATGACCTTCGCATCTCGGAGTCGCCATCCAAATCTTTTACAGTTTATTGCCTCAACAATCGATGATGGAAGTCCATTATTCGTCACAGAATTACTCGATACTTCTCTACGGGACTTGTTATCACAACAAGTGTTAGTTGACATTGAAATTTATAACCTTGCCATCGACACTGCAAGAGGTTTAAATTACCTTCACCTTAATGAGCCGCTTCCCATTGTTCATCGGGACATCAGCAGCGCCAACGTGTTGCTTTACAGACGTGGGGAAAGTTGGAGTGCCAAGCTCTCGGATTATGGATCAGCCAATTTTGTGCGTCAGCTTATGACAGTGAACCCAGGTGCATCAATTTACGCTGCACCTGAAGCTAGCACGTCCAATTCAACAACAAAGGTGAGAGTTCTTTTTATGTGAACTATTTTGGGGTCCCGTGGTTTCCCAACTCCTCAATCTTTCTTGCAAAGGGAGAAACAGCTGAACAAAATTTGATTCGAAGCATTTAAAATAGTAAATTTAACACTCCGGCCACCTCTAAACCCTAAGGAACTAAGCAAAATGAGAGAATATCGCGTCACACTGTGGGAAATGTTCGTGTTGAATTTTCCTCGCACATTTGCCACAATCCTTGACTTGCCACTTTAATTACTGTAATTCGTCTTGAAGCCATGGGGTGCAGTTCAATCCCCTTGCGTTTTGCGAGGTAAAGAAGAAGAGGGCTCCGTCGTGATTATATTCACAGAAAGGAAACCTGTCTGACTCTCAGCTCACTTGCACAGGCAGCAGTAACATGCAGAAATGCTTACTACTATGACTTTGTCCTCCAATAGGTGGACGTTTACAGTTATGGTGTGTTATTATGCGAGATGTGCACCAGAGAATTGCCAAATCCCGAGCGTCGCGAAAATCAAATCAGGCAGGTAGCCGGCACTTCCCTGAGAAGGCTGATAACCAGATGTACGATGACAGATGCGGATCAACGTCCAGCTATGAGTGATATTTTAAGTGAATTAGAGAGATTAAGAGAGAACCCAGGTGTCATTTCCATGGTGAGAAATTTTCTCATAATGTAAAGAAAAAAGAGTTTGCCTTGGATGGTTTCAACTCTGTGAGTCTAGAAACAATGTTGAAGGTTGGACTTTACCAGAATATCGAGCATGTATCTCATGCAATTAACTTTTCCGCAAAGAACAGTCTCCCACTGAATTCATTACTTGGACGCTGGTGCTGATTACAATCTTAATAGATCTGGTAAACATCATTGCTTTGTAACTTTGATTTTGATTTTGGTATGTAATTATAATTTAGAATGCGTTCTGATCGAATCGTATTGCTTCTTCTTCCCAAGAGATCCACCCGTAACTCTGGAGAGCGGACTGTATCAACTAAGAGGATGTTCAGTAATAAACACGAATGTACCAGTAAATGGCTGGCTCGAAATATTTGTTTAAAGCAAGGTTTGCGAAGTATCCTTGCAATAAGTTCTAATCGGTAAAATTATTGACAGTGATTGGTTCAATGATCTAATTGATAACAAATGTTTTCGTCGCGAATATTTCTATTTGTTTCTGAATCGATTTATTTGTGTCACCTAAACCCATCATTTTTCCAATTGGCTCGGTTCTAAGAGCAGACCTATGTAAAGTAAATTGTCAGAATAACAACACTCGATGAGTAACCTGTCTCATGATGGCACTGCAACAAATCGTCGTAGAAATGGTGGAACATGTTTGAATTCCTTTTTTTAATGTCAATAATAACTCAGCTTTAATTGCTTGTGCTGTCAACCTTTATAATTTATATTCATTATATCATGGAATTAGTGATATGTTCTACTTTTGTCAGCATCTATATGCTTGATTGACGGAGCGTTTGTAGCGTCTCATGGAGCTTGCTGCAGTATACACATGGTCTAGGGTACGTTGGTTAGTATACTGCGTAACTTCACAGAGCAAAGTAGGTTAGGTGGGATTAGTTGTGTCACTTTATGCGCGTTGAAATCAGAAACCATTTTTACTCATTTAGCCTGTCCTGTACGCCAGTAATACGCGCTTAGGTGCACCAAACAACAATCAAACGTAATCACTGATGCTGGCGTCCATTCGTTTGGAGAAAGTAAAATTAATGTACCGATGAATGTGACTGTTCCACGTAAAAAGCCTCATTTGTCACCTAATCAACCGTGTCACATGACTAACTGTGATCTCGTGAGTTCAACTCTTTCAGGCATCCGATGCTGCTTTGCTACTTGTCCTATTGTTTAAGTCAACGTAGTCTGTGGATTTTATTTGAAGAGGAAAATTACTTATAAGTTGCATTGACAAGTATCACTGGCACTAGTATGAATGCAGTGCAGTGCAGTGCAGGGACAGTAAGAAAGACTTATAAAGAAAGTCTACATCCACAGTTTGGACAAAAATTGCCGCATCCTTCTCCAACCTCAATTCCACAACGATAGCACCATTTCAATCCACTCGATCCGTGTGTTTCTGATATGCTGCTGGTAACTTCTTGCCAATCTAAAATTGTTGGATATTAAGTGTAAGTTATGATTCATCGAAAAAATATGCGGGACCAGGATTAATTAGAAACATCTGATGCACCTGTTGCTATCAAGAGTCAAAAATGATCACAATCCGACATCAGTCGATGATTGCGTAAATACTGGAATGAAACAAGTACAAGTCCTTGCTTATTGAATATGATTCAACAGTCTTCAGCCCTGACCAGTGTACGGTATATGCTATCGAAAACATACGATTTAACATACGATGATAATCATTATTATTTGTATAACTGGTGAGAATTAAAAATCAAAAGCTCCTGGAAGCTATTATTTATTGTTAAAAAGTCATAAAGGTTTCTGCAAATTCAAAACTAAAACAATTCTGTCCAGGCTTTTTAGAGCCGTCTTAAAAAGGAAAAAAGTATTTATATAGCTGTTCTCACCTTCATCCCCACATGTAAATGATACCTGTCCGGCTTGGGCGGACAGGGCAACCGGATATGCAGTCAACCAGATATGCACAAGACTTTCAAAGAAACCTAACACAAATACGTGATGAGTTGGTGGAACAAATATCAAACTAATGAAATGGTGGTAAATAGAAATCTACCTCCTCTTATCTGCAGTCTGTATTTTTTTCTTGAAGCCGACGATCTTTTTCCGAGCTGTTCTGGTTTTCTTTCCTCAACTTTCAAGTGGAATGGACAATCCTTTATAAATTCCTCGGCTAGAGATATCCGGTCATAGTAAACTCTTCAGCAGTTTCAGGTTCAAGTTGTATGAAACTTTATAGCAGCCATCATGTAAGTCCGCTATGTTGACCTTCAAGCCTGTTTCCCTCTTTTAAGATTTTATATCAACAACAACTTTGTCAATTTCACTGTAAGCTTTTTTGCTTAGTAGGTCGTTAGCGATAACTTTGAAAACACAATCTTTGTCGAGTGTTCCTTTCGTCAATTCTTCTCCTTGTGCCAGTGTAAATGAGGGTTCTGTTTTGGTTGTAAACAGTTTCCCTGGCGTGTCTATTAGCGATGACAGATCATTCGGAACGTACTTGACCTTTGAATAATTAAGCTCTATGCCCAATTTGGGTTGTTCCGAAAGTTCCTGAAACCTTTGTTGCAGTACTTCTTTCACATTCAATATCTCCGTAAGATTACTTCGTTCGACAATGTTTCCTGAAAATTCTAGGCTACTCTCAATCTCCTTCAGGTGTTCATCTAAATCAGTTGCTGTCTTCGCAAATGCAACCTCGAAGTGTCTTTTCGCTCGAGTAAATGCTCGATCATGCNAGCGTTAGCCCTTCGTCGGAGCGCCCTAACGTTAGCCCTTCGCTCCGACGAAGGGCTAACGCTCGAAACGTCAGCTTTTGTAATCGTTACAGTGGCCAATTTACCATTTCAACTTTGTTGATATATCCAAATTATTTCGTTACTCCCACCGACGCAGCCCCAAACAGTTTCTTTCGAAACTATCAGCCTTTTTCCACGAGCCTGCTGATGATGGCGCTAATCTTCCAGACATGATCTGCAGAAAGTGTGCAGGCATTTCAATATTTTCTGCTCCTTAGTTTCATTAAATTGTTCTTGGAAAATACAGCATTCTAGTTCTTTTTTGACGTCGTCGAAAAAGCCTCTGCTACCAGCCGCCATGGGTACACAAAAATATCGTAAACAGTCCAAATTCCCGAATGAGTTTTCTTGGACTCTCGCCACGTCGACCAAAGAGACAGAAGGGACCTTACGCAAACCACGAGGGCGACGGCAACGGGAACGTGAAAAAACAAAAGATATAATTGGAAGAACAATAGCCCAGAACGTGCATTTTAAAACTTTGTTCATTTCTTAGCCGCCCTTCGCAAAACAACAACGTGAAATCACCAAAATTTGCATCGTCTGCGAACCGAAACCGCGACGTCAAATTATTTTAATTTCTTATTTGGCCCTCATCGCTACTTTTATGCGTTATGTTGAGGTTGAGGTCTGGCGCCCTATGAGACGGTAAACACATGCAGTCATTTTCGAAATTCTAACTTAAAGTAGAAATTAATTTTTTAGTTGACGTCTTCCGTGGCGTTGCCGTCCTGACTGCGTAAGGTCCCTAGAGCTATCCTGGGACGGGATGGAATTGACGAAGAGTTGATGCCACCAAATGCAGGCATTATCAACAATAAAGTTAACATTATCCATTTCGGGAAGTAAAAAAACTATCCGGACATAAGCGTAATGAATTTTATAATATTTTACTGTTCTTACAAAGAGGATGGTGGATTGAATACCCGGAAATCGCGTAGAATCCAGTTTCTCTTTTCAGGTAGCGACAAATAAAGCGTCAAAAGTTGCTAATGCATGAAAACGGTTTGCTTGCTTGCTTGTTGTGTTGTTAAAAAAAATGAAAAAAATAGATATGAGTCTAGTGGGGGTTTTATCACTCGCTTGGCAAATTAACAAGAGGTACTGAGACTCTGTAATTTTCTTCTTTATTCTCCTATACTGCTGCTCCTACTACAGCTAATTCTCTCTCTCTCTTTCTCCACCGCTTATTTCTACTACTTTCAGCAAGGAGTGCTCCAGTATTAAATACAAAAATCACAGACATGTTTGGGTTAGCTAACCGTGGGAATTTCCAAAACAGGATATTCAGTGTAGGTAAAACTCAAGGTCAGTTTTACCAACCCAAACATGACCACCTAGCGAACAAGTTATCCTCAACCATAACAAGGGATTAAAATGTCTAGCAAGGTAAGAACTGAGCCAAGTTCAAGCACACACTAAAACTAAATGATCAACACTATAGATTCATCAAAATAGCACGTAGGGGTGAAAAGGCGAGACTTAATAAAAGAAAAGGTAAACCTAAAAACACTCGAAATATCAATCCTTGAAAATGCTCTACAACATGAGTAAATGGAAAATAGCAACAAAATTTTCGTAAACGTACCAGCACAAAAAAAATGAAAGGAAGAAAGGGAATGTTTTGTATTTTATTTTCAATAATCAAGCTCAGTAGTTATTGATTGGGAGGTGAATGGTTTCCGTGAATGATAATGGTGCGAAGGGTTTTCAAAAGTGTAATTTTCCGACCATATGTGGGCTTGAAATTTTAGATATTTCACCCTGCGCTTATCAATCGACAATGTGATAATTATCATTGCAATGAACTGATTGCAATTTGTCTTGCGGATCAAATTCAAGTGAAGAATTCTCCTCGCAACTGAGCAGCGATTTAAGCGGTTCAAGAAAAGAAGCCCGATAAAAATCAGGCTTCGACGGGATTCGAGCCCATTTCCACCCAGATACTAGTTTGGCGGGCCTACCAATTCAGCTGCGCAGTTCAAATGAAATTTTTACACTTGAGTTATGATCAGATTACATGCGGGCTCCATAACCTGATAAAGCATCCGTTTGTAAACTGAACTGACCAATCAGACGATGGTTACTCGTTGTACTTGTCTCGTTCTCAAAGAGTGGCTTCGTAGCTCAGTTGGTTGTATCATCCAACCATGGCCGGTATCTGGGTGGTATGGGTACGAATTCTGTTGGAGTCTCGCATTTTTCAGGCTTCTTTTTCTGCAATTTCTCGATTGGAGTTCATTTGCGAGAATCTTTTCTGCACATCAAGAGAAAAACCTCACACAACTCTTTTCATAATATTGGACTAGAACCTCCATGTCTTAACACCAGGTCGACTTCATCTCATTTGGAATTACTTGGCAGTACTTTCAGAAGTGTGCTAGGAGCTAATCTTTTACCCCTTACTACCTTTCTTCTCTTCGTTTGCTTTTGTTTCAAGGCAATACTATCAAGGAGTATTTTACGATTCCACAACAGTCCGATCCGAGGAATCCTGAGGGTAATTTATGCGATTGTAACTTAAAAAAAATGCCCCTCCTCCTCCTCCCCCCCCCAAAAATTTCCATGCTCTTTCAGCGGTGAACTAACGACAATATCAATGTACATTTGCTCCCATGCGAAGCAAGGTGAAAAGCGGAATGTGGGGGAAACAAAGATCATGAATGACCCCCGAAAGAATGCGCTCATACGAGCTTCACACGAGAACTACAAAAGGAAACAAATTACAGCGAGCTATTGTAAATAGCAAACAAACGTATAACGACAACGTCAACAACAAAAACAATACAAATGTGTTGTTTCCCGCTAACTTTTACTTGGAGGTTTAACTTTCCAGGGTCCAGTTGTTCAAAAAGCTGATAACGCTATCCAACGGATAAATTGCTGTCCAGCGAATGAGTGCTAGCAGAACGTTCTGCGCTATCCACCGGATAGCGACTTACCCAGTGGATAGCGTTATCCACCCTTCGAACAACCGGGGCCTGGAACAAAATCGGTTTTATATTTAAAAATCACATTAACTGAGGGAGGGAAGGGGAGGG